TATCTCAACCCACAGGTTTTTACATTTTTTCCAATTCTCCCTCCCGTCTCACTGGGGAGTAGAGATGAGCAAGAGATGATGAGCTACATGGTACTTAGTTGCAGGCTGGCCTTAAACCAACGCAGTGATGTTCACAGAAAATTTACATAGTGTGCCACCTGTTAGTCTGATACTATCACCTTTTCCATGTATAGGTATATGGAAAATAGATTTTGCCTACATTTTCATCTCTTCTGTTACTAGAAAGGCTTTAAGGAAGTAAGTAGGACATATTCTTGCAAAATGAATGATTACAGCAAAAGATGGACCTCAGTTCCCTCAGAAGATGACTTGGTACTTCCTAAATACAGCTGTGTAGCAACCAACCACTGAGTCAGCAGAGAGGCCTGAGAGTGCTGCGATAGACTATCTATCTGACCCAAAATAGGCATTTGAATCACCTGCCCTTTATAGTTGTCTGGTGGAGAACCTTTTCTCATGCTAGCAGGAGGCACCAGAGGGAGGTCAAGTGAGCTACTTCTTGCTATAGAGGACAAAAAGGCACCAGGGAGACTCATCCAGCTAGGGAAACCTGCAAGGTGGACACAGAGGGTTGGGACAGTCATGTTCACAACTGTTGTTCTCCATAACAAAGTCTCAGACCTCAGGGAGACCAGGCTGGCTGGAGAGCAGGAGCTGTGGTGCTGTGAAGGAACCACCTCCTCCTCTGAACTGGGTAACAGCAGCAACAGTGTGAGCCTTTGCTGATACCAGCAACTGGGAAGAGCTCTGTAACTCCAGGACACAGGGGCTCCCCCTCTCCTCCTGAGAGGAGTCAGCCTGGCTCCTACCAGCCTTCTCTCTCTACCAGCCTTCCCTAGATGGGCTGACCCCATGGGCCAGAGGGGTGGTGGGTCGCCACCAAGGATGGGGGGCTGCCAATGAGCTGTGGAGAGAGAGGGTGGCAGAAGAGCATGGTATGAAGCAGGGTTTGGAGTGTGTTACAGTCATGTGAGAATGAGGGGAGGGAAGGAACATAAGTGCTGCAGCTAGGAATAAGGTAGCAGCTATAGGTTAGGAGGTTAGAGTGTCTTTTTTGAATTAGCTACTCTAACCAGTGAGAATACTTATTAACTAATCATCATGTAATAAATATGTTAATTACTAATCTTTCACATCTAAAATTCCTGTAAAGATTAAAAAAAATCCCCATGTGTGTTATTTTGGCAGGGTGCAGAGGAGAGTGGCCATGCACAAGCACCTCTGCACCATCAGGCAGTCACAAAACCCACCAGCCTTGCTGTGGTACAAAGGCAGGCAGTTTGCTGTGCCTGCTCTTGCCAACAGCTCTGCAAACCCTCTTCTCACAGAGTGAGGAGTCTCTGTCTCTCCCAACAGAGTCATAAAATACAGCTTTATCCACCCTGCATGCAGTAATCAGGCAGGCTTAAGGGCTTAAGCACTCATAGGGAAGCAATGCTCAGGAAGATTGCACCGGCCTGTTTGCCTACCTCAGTCTGCTTCTCTAATCCAGTCTCTCCTCAGTATGGACTTGTAGGGGCACATTGTTAGAGACAGAGGCAGAACATTGAACTTGCTAATAGACAGGGAGCTGTTAAGCTCGTGCCTATGCAGGGCTGCAAAAAGCCTGGTGCTGTTGCCTTCGCTCCACTTACTGGCCAGCTGCTGAGCTGTGGAGCACAAGGATCATGCACCAGGCATAGAAGATGGGAGCAAACAGGTTTCATCCTTTTAGGCTGTTTTATTAAACAAAGCCAAGCAAATCAAATCCAACCCGTCTGTCAGTACTCCAACTCCTCATTTACCTGAGACCCCTTTCCACAGCTCTGGGAGAACAAAAAGGCTGAAGTGTAAATGAGATCAGTGTCAAGAGCATTACACACATGAATATTTATCAAGGAAGACCAGACAGAGGCCAATTTGCTGCCCTGCTGCAGCAGTGGGAGCTTGGTCACCAACAAGTGGGAGGGGAAGGGTAGGTGAAGAGGCTGGTCCATGTCTTTGCTGGGCTGAGGAGTGCAGGATGCTGGCGAAAGGCTCTGACTGTGCACGAGGATACCTGCAAAAGCCATCAGTTAGGAACAACACTGAAGGGCTCCTGGGTCTTGGAACAAAAGCTAAGTATAATGCATTTATGAAGCAAGCGTACAATGTCCCTTCCAGTCATGCAACCAGCCCACAAACTGCGGTTTAGAGGAAAAACTCTAAAGAATTAACTGGAAGTTGTTGCCGTTCTTTGGGCATGCCAAGTGCTCATGATAAATTTTTTTCCTGAAGGAAAAAGCAAGGTTAAGTCAAGCTACAAAGCCCATCAAGCTTGAGATTTACAGCAATCTAAAAGGGTTACAGGTTCATTTCTTTAACAATTGAATTATGGCTGCTTCTGGGTATCGATACATTAAGCATGCTGACCTCCTCAGTGCTGTGGGGAGCTAGGGTATGAGCAACAACGGAGAGATTGCGCTGGTTATGGTTTTTATGTGCACTTCAAAGTCACTTCCGAAAAAGAAGATGAGATAGTAGTTGAGTATTCCAGCCACGGACATGAGGAACAGGAACAAAATGATGCGCTTTCCAAACAAGTGACCGGGAGTGCTGAGGAGATAGAAAGGGAAAAAAGCCGTTTGTTAATGTATGTCACCTCACGCAAGAAGTCCTCAGACTTTGGACTCTGCTGTTGAGACCAGCTGAAACACCTTGTGTCTGAGATGGAGTGGGCAAATTTCTGCTCTGTCTGTTATTTCAAGACAGCTGCAAGGTCTTAAATGCCATTTTCAGCATCCATTCGGGTCTGAATTTGGCCTCCTGTGCTCAGCATAGGCTACTGCTTACAGAAGTGGCCATTAACAGGGAGTTGTATGTCTTCTCTACCATTACAGGCTGTGGAACAATCTTGTTCCACGTGTGTGTAATGAGCTTTATTAATATAAAAGGATGATTTTGTGCAAATAGCGTCACAAACACACAAACACATATGTTCACAGAGGTGTGAGCAGGAGCTGCTGAAGCAGTTGCTCTGTTCCTGCAGCTCCCCTCACCCTGGACCCGCTGCACATCCCGTGTCTCCCACAGCTCCTCCCGTGCACCCAGAAGAAGTGAGCTTTTCTGTGCCATCCTGTGCAAGCAGCCATTGCAGGGCTATTTCCACGGCAGCTGTGCCTGTGGAAGTGGCAGCGTCCGACTGCGCTGCCGCCACATCCTGGATTTTGTAGAGAGGCTCCGCAAGTCCTTACCTCTGAGTCCTCTCCCCCAGGTAGCCCACAAAGTACTTCTGCCTCACAAACAGATACATCAGGCCAGCAAAGGCAGCAGGAGCTGTGTAAAGGGTAAACCAAGATGTTAAAAACACCAGCCCAGGTCTCACTGTATGTACTGTCCCCATTTGCTGCCTGGACTGGACCAAGAAACTGGAACCCGCAGCCCTGGATTGTGGGATGAGTGCTGGAACCAGGAAGGAGACCTGTGCATGGGAAGCAGAGCACTTGCCTTGTCCTTGCTCCAGCTTTTCTAAAGAATGTGTGGATATAATCCTGCTCACAGCTATGCCCACTGCATAGCACACACTTGTCCCTGTTGGAAAACCAGTGTGGGTCATGCCAGGCTCAGGAAGCAGCGTGCTGGCTCAGGCACTGTCTTTACCAGAATAAAAGGCAGCACTTCTCCAGGAGCGGGTGGAGGACTATACTTTGGTCCGATACTCATTTCTGAGCACATAAATAGGGGCTTTCCCTCCTAATTCTAGCTTTTCCCACACCTGCAGGCAAAACCCCCTCTTCTTCTAGTCAGGAAACTTCTCTTTTCCAAAAAGAATAGCTACAGACCTCACAAAAGTACTCATCTTAACCTTAGGTAAACTCAAACTGTGTCGAAGGGGATCATATTTAGAAATGCAGGTAGATATTCCTGGGCTGCCCTCAGCACTGGGAAGGGCTGGCAGCTCTGTCAATTTAATCACAACAGCCCATTTCCAGCCCTGAGAGTGAATAATGTGCCATCCAGCATCCAAGTACTAAACCATCCACCCAAAACAGAGGGATCTCATCCATAATGCCTATATGGGAAATGCCCCTGGCTTGGACTGTCCTGAGTCATGTCTGGGAACACGTCTGCTGGCATAAACCGTGCCAGGAACACTTGAACAGCACGTGTATCTGCAGGACAGCCAGGTGAGGCAGATTCCCGCTGCAGGAGAGGTTGGTGCTTGGAGGTGCATCACCTCCAAAGCGCTCACTATCCCTTGCTAAAAGTGGTGCAAGGTTGGAGGGAAAAACAATCAATGAGTGTTACCTGGGCTGCAGAGAAGGCCAGCGCACCAGAGCACAGCAAGGAACGTGGGGTACGCGTGTCCGCAGTTCTGGCTAGGGAGGGATTTACACACAAGAAATCAGAACGTGGGGAAATAGAAACAAAACGAATGTGTTTTAGCAGCAAATTGTGGATTTGGGCTGCTGCAGGTGGGCTTTTACTGCCTGTTGTGCCTGAACACGGCACTGCCTCACCAGCACCTCTGCTTCCCTGTTCCCTCACTTGGATAATGGATGTCTTTGTCCTGCCTGGTGAGGAAAACAAACCGCCCTGCACACACGCCTGGCACCTGGGAAAGCTTTCCTCCTCTAACCTGTTTGATCAAGGCACGTGTATGATAGATGCTGTGTGCTTTACTGGCCTGGAAAATCCTTGTAATTAAGTCATATTAATCATGTTACTGGCATTGAAAGCTGCATGGAACCAACAAAAGGAAAACTGCACTGCAAATAGGAGTGTCTCACAGAGTTAACACGTGTCTTTGCAGGGTAACGGAATGATTTCCAGCTGCCTCCTTTGACTGGGAATGCTTTCTGAGAGGGAAGCACTTTGCCCCTGGCAGAGGTTGCACACCTGTGAAGGGCAGGACTTGGGCATCCCCTCCAGTTTCAAACTCATCGTCAGTACTTCACGGGTAATAAAAAAGATTTTATGTTTTCTCTTATGGGTGGGAATGAATTTTCCTCTTCTCTCCCTGAAGGGATGTCAAAGACAAGAGGTACAAACATGGAGAAGCAGAGAGCCACGTGCCAAAGGAGCTGCTGGGGACCGAGGGGGTTATATGAGCTCTACTGCCAACCTGCTCCTCAGCAAGTTGGTGACTCACCACCAGCTCTTTCTTTTTGAGCCACAGTGCCTTGGGACACTGGCTGTTCTTGTATCACACTTCCAGCATTAGCTACTGCTAGGTGAGATGGTTCCCAAATGAGGGACATTGTACTCAAAGGGCTGAAAGTCCAACATAAACACAGCACAGCATCCAGAAGGGAGCTGGGTTCACCAGCAAACATATTAGAGAACCACAGGTCTGAACACTGCTGCAATGCACACAGCAAGGGATTGCAAATGAATCCTTCATTTGAGGGCATTGGGAGCCCACCTCTTGACCCCAAAAGGGTTTGTTTTAAACCCTAATGAAGAGAGAGACGGACCCCACTCTTCTCCCAGTGGCTGCTCAGGGCTTGCCTACTTACTTGGCAGTGTAGATGCGATTGAAGGCAGAGGATCCCGGCCGCTGGAACCCCTCACCGTTGCAGTATTTGCTTTCATGCTCCACTTTGCTTGCAAAAAAAGCTGTTAAAGAACCACAGAGTATTCTGAGATGTAATTTGGAGATACTGCAGAAGCTGGCCTGTGTGGTCTCACTTCTGTTCTCAAGAACACCCAGACTGAATGGCAGGAGAGGACACAGGTGTGTGGAGGTGCAGGATGTGGCCAGCATCTCCACTCTGTCACCAAGGTTAACCAAACTGTCTGTGCAAGGGTGCAGTGCAATGCAGCCTCAGACATCCCCACGTGTCTGTATGTGACTGGTAGCAGGGTCTTACCCCTGAGCCCTGTTTCATCGCAACACTGCACTTCTGGCAGCCTGCACCTCTGCTGCAGAGGTACAGCCACGAGCCCCTATGGGAAAAAAAGCTTTCCAGTCAGATGTGCCAACCCCAACTCTCACTCTCACTCAACAGAGCAGGGAGACAAGGGAATCATGGCAAAAAGAATCATGGCAGACGGGTGAAGTTCCTGATGACTGGAAGAAGAGAA